TTTTTTTTTTTTTTTTTTTTTTTTGCCATTTGTTAGGCGCATTGACGCCAGGATCCTTCTTGTCAGTAATTCCATTACCACATTAATTAGAGGCTGGCAGGAGGCTGCAGAACGTGGAAAAGAAAAATCTGTAAAGTGTTTTCCTGTTGCTCAGTTACAGTGTTGCAGCTACATCCACTTTGGCAAAATAAATAAAGTGCTTCTTACACTGTGATTCAGTGGCAAAAGGGAGGTCAGGAGGTCACACATAGGCTGACACTGTGGCAGTGTAATGCAGAGTGAGAAAGGTTCCCTAGGAATGTAACTGCCCGGAAGTAGGGGAAGCTGCCTTGCTCCCCTGCTCAAGTGGTGTTCATTCAGCATAACCTAGAGGGGTCTCACAAACTTGGATGGTACAAAAAGAAAAATGCGTGTTGTTTTCACTACCTGTAACTGAAAGACTGTTTTTGCTTCAGTTGTGACACCAGCCACCTCTGTCCTCACTGTGTAGCTAAAAGCTTCTTTGCACTTGTTTCCTGTGTGTCTCTTGGGTCATTCCTGTCTACAAGCTCCTGTCCTCTCATTTAAAAAACAAAACATAAGGACCCAAGTTTGACCCCCGGTACCAAAAAAAAAGAAAATAAACTACAAAACAACTGAGCATGGTGGCATGGACCTTTGAAAAAAAAAAGCAGGGAATAAAATCAAAGACAATTTTTCTCTGGATGTTACGTCCTCCTCCTGCCACCCAGCATGCATCTCCCCAGCCTGCCTGCTCCAGCACATTTAATGGAGCAGTCTTTTAAATGTGTCCTTGAAATATCATCTGTTGGCCTTCCAGGGCACCATTCCCTCTTTATTTTCCTCCTCAAAATCTCCTGCTGTGGTTTAGATAAGAAATGTTCCCTCTGTTACAGGCTTGGTCTTCAGCTTGGTGCTGATGGGAACCTGAGTCTGTAAGTCCTGACGGGAGATTTAAAATCATAGGGAGCATGCCCTCAAAGCAGATTCTCCCCCGCTTCCTTCCCTCTCACCCTCTCTCACTCCCTCTCTTCTTATTGAGGACAAGGTCTCACTTTGTAGTTCAGGCTGGCCTTGAACTCCTGGCAATCTTCCTGCCTCAGCCTCCCAAGTGCTGGGATTACAGGCCTTCAGCACTATGCCCAGATTCTTTCTCTTTTGGTGTCTGGTACGTGAGACACACACACAGCCTGCTGTGACGTAGTGCCTTGCTTATGCCCAGGAGTAGCAACCAATAGACCATGGCCTGAAACCACCAAAACCTGGGCCAAAACAAACATTTTCTCCTTTCTCTTGTTTATCTCCGTAATTTGTTAGAGGAACGGAAAGCTGAGTGATGCATCTCCCAGTGTCCAAATGTTGGGGTGCCCAGGTGTCAGGCTTTAGTCTCCAGCCTGCACTGTCTGAGCTCCAGTCATGCATATTCAGCTGACTGTTTGACACCCGCTTCCATGCTAGAAAGCCCTGGACCGCAGCATATCCCAAACCAAACTCCCGTCTCTGTCCAGTCCAGTCCAGTCCCACCACCGGGGCTACAGCCGTTCCCTCACCCAGAACAAGGGTCCTCTTTGACACCTTTCTTCCTGCTGCTTCTACCATCCATCCGAGAATCCTGTTCCTTGTCCCTCAGAGTATTTGTAGAACACGACCGCTTTTCTCCACTACCGCTGCTGCCACATAGTTACAGCAGCCACACTAATCATCTCCTTTCTTCTGTCCTTGCCCGCGAAGCCCTTCCTAAGGGATGTTGCCATAGTGATCATGTTAAAACATCAATTCCCATCTCAGTAACAGCCAGGGTTGTCAGTGGCCTGTAAGGGGCGCTGTAGTCAGCACTTTTATTGTATTAGTACATGTTCATGGTGCATACAAGTTCCATTCGTCTGGGACTTGGTACTGGACGCAGACCTGGTCCTAAGAACTCAGAAATCAACAACTAGACTGATTTGTTAAGTGAACAAAGGTCTGAGTGGAAACCTCACCGAAGAAGATATGCAGATGGCAAACAGGCCTGTGAGAATATGCTCCACACCATGCCCTTAGGGGATTTCACCTTAAAATGGCAGCGAGATACCACTATGTACCACCAAGAATGGCTAAAATCCAAAACCCAGACAGTCCCAAGCACTGGTGAGGACACGGAGCAGTGTGAACAAACAGCCATTGCTGGAGGGAACACAGAGTGGCACAGCCATGTTGGAAGACAGCTGGCAGTTTCTTACAGAGCGAAACACAGTACTGTGCAATCTAGGAATTCTCCAAAAGTATCTACCCAATTAGGTGAAAACAGGTTCACACAGAATCCTGCCTCTTGAATGTTCATAGCTGCTTTATTCCTAGTTACCAGAAGTTAGAAGCCACCAAGGTGCTCTTCAGTAGGTGAATGGATAGGTAAACTGTGCTACACTCATTTAATGTAATATTATTCAGTGATAAATAAATTGTCACTGGGATGGTGGCACCCGCCTGTAACCCCAGCTACTCAGGAAGCTGAGGCAGGAGGATCACAAGTTCGAGCCCAGCCTGGACAATTTAGTGAGATGCTGTCTCAAAATAAAATTTAAAAAGGACTTGTAATTCAGTGATAGAGCACTTAACTAGTGTATGTGAGGCCCTGGACTCAATACAAGTACTCAAGAAAAAAAAAGTATCGTAGTACAGAAAGACATACAAGAACCTTGAATCTACATTTCTAGTTAAAAAAGTTACAAAGGGACACACACTTTCTCCAGTTACATGACTTTGTGTGTTTGCGTGCTGGAGATTGAACTGAGGCTCCTGCACATGCTAGGTAAGTGCTCTGCCACTTAGCTACATCCCCAGCCCCAAATCTGTTGAACTTATAAATGCAAAGAATGAATCTAGTGTTTCGGTATTGGTTAATTACAGCAGATTTTAGTGTTGAGGCCGAACCTAGAGCTTTGGCACTGAGCCAAATCCCTAGCTGGCTTTTCATACTTTTATTTTCAGACAGAATTCTGGTAAGTCACTAAGGTATCCAGGCTGGACTTAAACTTTTGATCCTCTTGCCTCAGCCTCCTGGAATGCTGGTATTACAGGTGTGCACTACCATACCTGGCTAATTAAAACAAATTACCACACTGATGCAAGATGTTGCTAGAGGAAACTGTTTAGGAGCGAAGGTAGAAATGGGGTAGGTATACAGAACTTTTTTTTTTTAATCTACTTGATTATTGTGTAAATCTAAAACTAGAAAATACCCAACATTCAGGAGGCTGAGGCAGGAAGTTCACCACAAATTTGAGGCCAGCCTAGCTACATAGTGCATTCAAGGCCAACCTGAACTGCATAGCAAGAATCAGAATCAAAAAAAATTTTCAACAGGGCCAGGAATTTAGCTCAGCGGTTCTGCCGCCTGCCTTGCAAATGCAAGGACCGGAGTTTGATCCCTGGTACCAAAAAAAAAAAAAATAGATACATAGAATCTATATAGATGTAGATTCCCTTTTCCTTTTGAATTCAGTTTGAAAAAAAGGAGTCTAGGAGAGAACATTGCTATCTGTTCACCTGCCAGATTAAGGTCCTTTGAAAGAAATACCCAGAGGGTGAGGAGGCAGGTGGATCACCATGAGTTTGAGGCCAGCCTGAACTACAGAGTGAGACCCTGTCGCAAAAAGCCAAAAAAAAAAAGACCTAAAGAAGAGCAGTTTGTAGGGACATTGTGATCCTGAGGCCCTATAGGTGCTTTCTGACCTACAGGTTAGGGCAGTTTTAAATCACGAGCTGTAACATCTGAATGGTAGGCTGCTAGCACTGTGGTTGGCGTAAACCCTGGGAATTACTGCAGCCATTGGGGACGGGCTTCCAGCCAGCCTTTCCTTGTTCCCAATGCCACCTGAGGCTGAAGGATTCCCGAAGCAGCTGAGTCCATGGGCTGGACGCTAAGGCCCAAGTGCTGCTGCCTGTGTGTAGCTTCCTGGAGCAGCTGCGTGTACAGATGTGAAATACTGTCCCTGTTGTCACCCAGAAGAGCCTGACCCTGTGCTCTACACTGCTGCGGGAGCGGATCCAGGCTGGACGTCACGGTTCCTGCTTGAGTCTGCAGCTCCCTCCTGAGAGCGGTGGTCAGGTCTTGCTGTAGTGCCAGCCTCCCAACTGTGTGCTTATCTGTATACCCTTTGAGCTGGAGTGCTTTTTACATTTTTGAGTGATTGGGAAAAAAATGGAAAGAAGAATAATACTTTGTGACATGTGAAAGTTACAAAATTCAGGTTTCAGTGCCCACAAAGAAAATGCCACTGGGACCCAGCCTACAGCGGGGGAAGGCAAACGTTTTCAGTAGGGTCGGCATGAACAACGCTATGTTTGTGGCCATGAGAAGCTACCACAGAACCGAATGGTTCTCTAGTGGTCGAAAGAGCTGGGGTAACCCGTGAGCTATCCGTTATCCTCAGGGAGGACAGTGCTGACAGCCTCTCACTCGGCGGTGTTGATTAGGGCAAAGTGACTGAAACAAAACACAAAGCAAGATGGAAGGGCGAGGACAGGGTACCTGTGTGGCTCCCCAGAGGTGCTCACAGAGCCCATGCAAGGCCTGCAGCACGATTGCCATGGCATTTCTCAGGGTGTATCTGTGTCACTGTGAAACTCCATCCGGTCATCATTTCCATATTCAAAATAAAGGACGTCACCAGCACGGTGGCACATACCTATACCTGAGTGTACTGGGAGGCTGAGGCAAGAGGATCACAAGTTCAACCCCAGGCTACGTAGTGAGTTCCAGGTCAGTTCTCAACTACATAGTGAGACCCTGTCTCAAAAAAACAAAAAAAAATTTTTTTTTTCTAGCCAGCCTGGGGGTACGTGCCAATAATCCCACCATTCTGGGAGGCTGAAGCAGGAGGATTGTAAATTCAAGCCCAGTCTGGGCAATTTAGCAAGAACCTGTGTCAAAATTAAAAAATGGGCTAGGGATGTAGCTCAGTGCAAAGGCTCAGGGTTCAGTTCTCAGTCCTTTTAAAAAACATTTCTCTCTGGCAAAGGCTGGGTCCTTAGTTTTTACAGTGTTCAGTCCTGACCTCCAGAGGCCTGGGGAGGGAAGAGTGAGAGGAGATCACGGTGGTTACCGTGCAGCTGGCACTGGCAGCAGTGACGAGAGGAATGCAGGATTGCAGATGCTGGAGACACCAGCCTGGCGCTCTGACCCTTGGGACCTCGCGTAGTAGTGTGGGTTAGGCAGCTGTGGGTGTCCCTGCTGGGGGCCTGAGTTTGCACCTGGCTTTGTCAGGTACCAGCGCAGTATGGTTCTGACTTCTCAGGCTTGCGTGTCTGTGTGGATCGAGTGGGGGAGTATGAAAGCCATCTCAGAGTTGCAGGAGTGGTTGGCAGTAGATCTGGGAGGAGTGTCAATGCCCACCAGACGTAGCTTTCCGTCCCACGGGGTGTCTTCTCACAGTTACCAAACTAATTAGTTGATTGATTTACTTTGCTTCCACAGATGAGGTGAGAACTGACCGTCGTGCTCATCTGAAACCTGCCAAAATCTACCTCCTCTTTGGAGAATCTGCCCCTCTTTTTTTTTCCATCTCTGCTAGGTGAAGTAACCGTCCTCTTCTCCTTTACAGATATACGTAATTGACAGTGCAGACAGAAAAAGGTTTGAAGAGACGGGCCAGGTAAATAATTCTCTTGAGATGCTGTCCAAAACTTGGATATTCATTAATCCACCTTGTAAATATGTGAAAGTGAGGGAGGTGTTTTTTGTTTAACCTTGAAGTTCAAACAAGATGGTCATTCAGGCTCACAAGCGAAAGTAACAGCTGTCTAAACAAACCATTTGAGAGTCCTTAAATGGTTTTGTGATTCAAGTCTTTTATTTTAATCACAATGAATATATAAGATATAAGTAAATGGAACTTAGTACCATACTCTTGTTTTCTTTCAGGCCATGTTTGGTGTTTTGTTTGCAGTAGTGAGAAATGAACCCAGGGCCTTCACACTGAGCCACATCACCTGCCCCTTTTTTGAGGGGTAAGGAGGGATCTCACTGTGTAGTTGAGTCTGGCCTTGAACTCACTATGTAGCCCAGGCTGGCTTCAAACGGTGATCCTCCTGCCTCAGCCTCCTGATTATAGGCTGGGATTACAGGTGTGTGCCACTACATCCACATTTCCCATCCCTTTTTTGAGACAAGGTCTCACTAAATTACCCAGCCTGGGCTCCAACTTGTGATCCTCCTGCCTCAGCCTCCCGGGGTGCTAGGGTTACAAGCCTGTGCCACTGTGTGCAGCTTCATAGTTAGCGTTTCTGTTTAACTGATGTAAAGCTAATTTTGACAAACTGGAAAGGAGGGGGAAAAATTATAGGCCAGAATTAAGCTTCTCTTGTTTCCAAGCCAGGAGATAAGATAAACCTTGAATCCAAATATGGCTTGAAATGCAGGCTACATGTCAGCATGGCTACATGATGTGGTTTGTGTACGGTTTTACATAGGGATGCAATAGGCACAGGCCACTTTACCCAGGGTGAATTTACTGACGGGAACCCTGGCTTGGGAGAGTAGACCTCTTAGGGGAAGCATGTTTAGATCATTGCAGTCTTTGGTCTGTGTCCTAAAATATCAGAAGTGGGCTTCCAAAGGCAGCGGCCATCATGGTTTGGTTCCCTTGTTTGGGAAATAAGTCGAGAACTCTCCAGACCCCTGGAGACAGCCCATCTTCCTGCCATATCTTGCTGGTCTCTGCATCACCACTCCAGAGAACCAGTGTTGCATGTGACCTCAGGGGTGGCAAGAGTCCTGTGCAGTCAGTCACCTGCCCCTGAGCCACCCAGTTCTCTAGGCCAAAGGGCTTAAAGAGCTAAAACGTGGGTTTAACTGGGAAAGCAGTGGCCTGTCATTTAGGTAACTGCACACCCTCTCATCCTTACTGCAGCCTGAGCCAACATGCAGTTTGGACCTTAGTCTGTAACCTAGAAGTCAGGGATCTTTTGTTTTTGCTTTCTTTCTTTGTACCAGGGATTAAACTCGGGTCCTTGTGCTTTCAAGGGGGGGCACCAAAACTACTGAGCTAAATCCCCGGCTAGACGTCAGGGACCTTGCCAGATGGACCAGTAAAGTTATTTCAGGATGTGATTCTGATGAAATTTAATGCACATGCGTGCATGCTTTGAGCTAGAGATTGACTAAGACATTATGATTTCTAATGGTCATCATCAGTTTTCAATTTCTGTGTATACCCACACCTACGTGTTGAAAGTTATTTGTAGGGCCAGAAGCATAGGGATAGAACAAGCTTAGCAAGCACAAGGCCCTGAGTTCAAGCCCCCCACCAAGAAAAAGAAAATTATTTGCAGATAGTGAGTTTTGGCTAAGTTTTAAATCTCTAACCGTTACTTACATTCTACCTTGGACAGTGTTTCTCAAAGTGTGACCTATGAATGACCTATAGGAGAAACGCCTAGGGAGTTGTTTAAAATGCAGATTCCTGAGCCCCTGAATTCCGCATCCTGCTTGGCCTAGTAGTCTGCTGGAGGGTGCTCAGAGTCTGAAGCCTGAATCCCTGCCCTTCTACGTTGCTAGTTGATCATCTGGAGTGTTCTGGTTTCTAACTGAGAGTGCATGCTTCAGGACCGGAGCTTTCACCCTTGTCCTCTTCCCTTCCCACCGTGGTGCAGGAGCTGGCTGAGTTACTGGAGGAAGAGAAGTTGAGCTGTGTGCCGGTGCTCATCTTCGCGAACAAGCAGGATCTGCTCACGGCGGCCCCTGCCTCTGAGATTGCAGAGGGGCTGAACCTGCACACAATCCGTGACCGCGTCTGGCAGATCCAGTCCTGCTCAGCACTCACTGGCGAGGGCGTCCAGGTGAGGCGGGGAGGCCTTATCTCCGAGCAGCGCTGACCAAGGTGGTCTGGGCTGATGAGGTAGAAGAAGATCCGGAACAAGCAGCCTCCAATGGGCAGATGGCCTCCCTAGGGTGTGAATGTGTGGAGAGGTTGGTGCTTTCCTGCTTAGCAGCGAACAAGCTGCCGTAGAGTGAGTGTCCCACACGGCCGCAGTCAGCTTTCCCCACCCAGAGGTCAGAACAGAGGGTGCCGAAGCTGGGCTTGGACTCCAGCACTCCTTGGTGATTGGGTCAGGGTCTGTGCGGGTCTCATGCGAATACGAGGAACCCTGACTGCCGAGCTGGTGGGCGCCACACTTGTGGTCCTGAGAGCTCTTTGCATCTCCCATCGCTTCTCTCCCCTCCCCGAGGTTGGTGTCTCTTTCCTCTGCAGCAGCCTAATTTCCCACCAGCTTCTGTGGACAGAATTCCTGTGCTTTGCGCTGAGGGACCCGTGTGAGGAGCACAGACTCCCCAGATTTATTTTGGGCAGAGCGTGGCTGTAACCCTGACACCCAAGAGTGGAGGCGCTTTCGGCTCTGGTGCCTCCCTGCCAGGCACCCACACATGAGCTCACTCTCCACGGGCCCTGAGGAACTGCTGCTTGCTCAGAAACCCAAGCCTCCTCCACAGGCCTCTTTTTTTTGTACCAGGGACTGAACTCGGGACCTTGCTCTTGCAAGGCAGGTGCGGCACATGAGCTACATCCCCGTGCTCCACAGACCTCATTTTAGCATCTGTGTACTGGTCCCGTGTGACACTGCACTGAGGACCAGGCCATTTTGCTCTGAGATGCCACGGGTGGTTTACCAAATCTAAGGAAATCATACCTTGGCCAGGTGGTGGTGGTACAGATCTATAACCCAGCTACTTGGGAGGCTGAGGCAGGAGGATCACAGGTTGGAGTCCAGTCTGGGCAACCTAGCAAGACCCTTTCTCAAAAAAACAAAAGAAAAGGGCGGGCCTGGGTGTGGCTCGTGCAAGAATGCTCCCCTAGTGTGAGAGAGGCCCAGGCCAGCCCCTCACTGCTGTGGAGACGTGCAGTTTGCTGTGCCTGAACTCCCTGTGAGGTTGCAGGCCTGGAATGCTTCCTCACCCATCCTCAGCCCGCGCCACCCCTTCTGAGGCGCTTCCCTCTTCTTCACATCTGACACCAAGCTCTCTAATGACTTGATTGCTTTATCCCAGCAAATAATCACTTCCCAGAATTGTCTCAGGCCTGTCATGTTGTTTTGCTTTTTCCTTTTCTGGTGAAGATAACCCCTGCCTGCCTCTGTGTGCAGCTCTGGACCTGGAGCTGTAGGTGCTGTGAAAGGTATGCAGATTCACACTGCGCCCAGAGCTGCCTGGGTTCTGTCCCCATCGAGGGGGTGGGGAATGTGAGGAGCTGGGCATGGGGGTGCACATCTGTAATCCGAGGGTTCTGGGAGGTTGAAACAGGACAACTGCAATTTTGAGCCCAATTTAGGCAGTTTTTGCTTTTTTTTTTTTGATCAGGGTCCCACTATGTAGCCCAGGCTGGCCTCAAATTCACAGCATTCCTCCTGCGTCAGCCTCCCAAGTGCTGAGATTACAGGCTTGCGCCACCATGCCTGGCACTAATTTAGGCAATTTAGTAAGACCCTGTCTCAAAATAAAAATTAAAAGGGGCTAAGCATATAGCTTAGTGTGAAGGCCCAGGGTTCAGTCCCAGTACCACCAGTAAATTAAAAAAAAACCAAAACTGTAAATCTCTTTCATCTTCCCCCAGTAAGGATTAATTCCCACGTATTCTACCCAGATGTGGCGGCACACACCTGTAGTCCTAGCACTCTCAGAGTTGAGGCAGATCACAAATTCAAGCTCAGTCTGAGCAACTTAGCAAGACCTTGTCTCAACATTTAAAAAAGGGCTGATGAAGTAACTCAGTGCAAAGCCCCGGGGAGAAAAAAACTTTTTTTTTTTTT